CGGCCCCGACTCATAGCGACCCCTCCTTGGGTTTCCGAGGCAGTATCACTACGGAAGTAGGATTGCCCAACCTTCCTTCCGAGGAGTAGCTGGTGGGTTTGAACCGCCAGCCGTCTGGTTAGCAGGCAAGTGTCTTAGCCACTATGCTACCAGAGCTCCCCTAGCAACGAAAATAGCACAGAGGAATTCGGCTCCAGAGTGATAACCGTATTTACTCACCTACATTTCGATGAGATACTTCATGCACTGGACCTAGCACATAATAGGCAAGCCATTAAAATAGTAATTATTACTGGGGTGAATTTGCAGGCGCATCAAGCTGAATCTAGCAAGAGAGATTTATTCAACGCTCCCCACGGAACAAGCACAGTGCTTCCCTATCATCAGAAGCCGCAGTTTTTTTCTCCAATACCTTTTCCAAAACTCTATCAAAGTTGTGCGTATTGATGACAGCCTTCAACACCTCCCGGACACTCTGTGTCAGGCCGCTCATTGTGGACCGTTCACTGGCTTCTGGACCCTGGTCAAGAATGAACCTCAGAAGAGGAGGGAAGCCCAAAAGTTCGCAGAAAGAACAAGGACTCAGAGAGCAAATAGGTTACTAACAACCTCCCTCGCAGCTCGCGCACTGACGTTACGCGCCGGTTGTGATCGCGCGCGCACGCGCCGTTAGGTCCCTACCAACCTTTCCGGATCGCAGAGCTTGCCCGCCCCACAGCAGCGCCTCTCTCCCTCCGACAGCGGAGCGCGTTTCCCCACCGGACGATTGATTTGGCAGAACCTTGGCTACGGGCGCCTGCGCAGAACCGGGCGTCGGCCGCCGGGCCAGACTACTGGGCGGTAAAGGGGTAGTGAAGTGATGGAGGGAGGGAGCAGTCTGGGTGCCCCCCCCGAGAGGGCTGCGGAAGAAGAAGAACCACAGGTGAAGAAGCGGCGACTCCTGTGTGTGGAATTTGCCTCGGTGGCGAGCTGCGACGCGTCTGTGGCCCAGTGCTACTTGGCAGAAAACGACTGGGAGATGGAAGTACGGTTTCGTTTTCTCTCACTTCCCTCCCTTTCTTTACCTTGTTTCATGGAACCCGCAAGCCAAATACCTGTACTTTTTCTTTTCAGAGAGCATTGAACTCCTACTTTGAGCCGCCCGTGGATGAGAGCGCCTTGGAAAGCCGTCAGACCTTCTCTGAGACTGAAACCTGGTAATAGATAATGGGAGTGCAAACGCAAAAACTCAAGCACTGCCGTTGAGTCGAATCTGACTCTTAGCCACCCTTCCTTGGGTTTCCTCGAGGCGGTATCTTTACGGAAGTAGATTGCCCACCCTTCCTACCGAGGAGTGGCTGGTGGGTTTGAACCGCCAGCCTTCTGGTTAGCAGTCAAATGGGAGTGCGGAGGCAGTTAATACCAGGTTGTGTCGGCATCCTGCGATCTGGTGGGCGATCCCTAGAAGCATTTCTAGCGGCTGAAAAACAGGCGAAGAATTTCTGTAGGTGCTACTGGGTGGAGAATGCCCCGTCGCAGCAGGGCTAAAAGGCTCTCAAGCGTTCCGCCTGCCACTTCGAACGTGATTTGGAATCCGTGGAGAACAAATTTGAAATGTAATTTTTTACTTGAATTACAGGAGATATATAAACAAATTTAAAATGAATGAGGCGAAATCCTCTATTGAAGGATAATAAGTAGGAAGGCTCCTAGCTTTGTATATTGGTCTTTTATTTACTCTGCGCTGGCTAGCCAGCGTAGTTTTCAAAAAAAAATGCACGTTTCTCCTGTTATTGCAGTACAAGAAGAAGAACTCATTGCCATCAAGTCGATTCCAACCCATAGCGACCCCCATTGGGTTTCTGAGGCTGTAAATCTTTCTGGAAGTGGATCGCCCCATCTTCCTTCCATAGAGCGACTGGTGGATTTGAACCCTGAGATCTTCTGGTTAGCAGCCAGATGCCTTATAATTTCTGTATTCGTACTCAGAATAAAGCCCAGATGCTTTACAAGCCCCTCCATGGTTTGGCTACTGCCTGTCTTTCCAGATTCAACTTCCACCAACCCTTTCTTAGCCCACACCAAAACTTCTGAGTTCTTCCATGGGCCATTTTCTCTTGCCTGGAACCTTTTTTTACTCCTTTCTTGGTATGCAATGTTTGTCTTAAAGGCAGAGATAATACCTTTAGAAAGGTTGAAAGGCAGTGATTATTCAGCCTTAGGAACTGCCTCATAGCATCCAGTTTTTCCTCTCCTGTAATTCAAGTTCATTATTTTTACCTCCCAGGTTACATGTTTGTTGAAAGTAAAGACTGTTGTTTTGTCATGTTGATTTCTCAAAATATAACAGCTTTTGGCACATTAATGAGTTCTTGGTAAATGAGTGCTGAACTTTTAAAATTCTCTTAACTTTGTGAGCAGCCAGTACGCTGACCTTTTCATATGCAATTGCCTATGAATGTGTTAGTATCATTTCTCCTTTTTCTATCTGTACTTCGTTTTGAGAGCAGTTTGGGAAGAAGATACTGGAATAACTGCGAATGCTGTTCCACAGAATAAAGCAGAAGAAAGTTTTGTTGTAGAACTGATACAACCCCTGATTTTCTTTCCTTAAGCATGGTTGCATTCCTGCACCTGACCCCTGGTCAAATTTGCGACCGTTTGAGCAAGGGAATTATTAGTAGGAAGAGATGATAATCCATTGAATAAAATAAGAATCCATACTGATACAGGTATAGTTGTCCAAGGGAGAAGAGAATGCCTTTTCTTTCAGTGGAATTCCAACTACTAAATGTTTGTAAAAGACATGATAGAATTAGAAAAACCACGGTAGTAATAATCACCAACAGATACGAAACCTGCTAGGTGAAAGTTTGGTGAGAAAATATTTACATAGTCTCAAAATACCTACCTGTAAAATACTACAAAGGGGAAAGTCAACTTTGTAGTGGAGAAATCTGGCAGACAACATCTTAACCAAGTGAACAAAGCTAACATCACCAATATTGGGACAAATTCGTAGCAGGTGCCTTCTGATTGAGGAAGATACATTTCTGCCAAAATAAATTTCATAACCCGCATCTAATCATGAGAAAACATCAGATAAGTCCAAACTGAAGGGCATTGTACAAAATAAAAGGCCAGTACTGTTAAAAAATACCAAGGGCATGAGAGACAAAGACTAAACAATTCTGCATTAGAGATTAAAAGAGGACATCTAAATGCAACATGTAATCCTGGTTTAGGGTATTAGTAACACAATTGGTGAAATTTGACTAGATCTTTAAATTAGGTAATACTGTCATCAATGTTAATTTCATGACTTTTGATAGTTGTAGGGTTATGATTGTAAGCATGCCCTTGTTTTTAAGAAATTCATATAGCAGCATTTACTCAAACATTTCAGAATAAAAAGAATAAAGCAAATAAATGTTAAGTAAAATGCTAACATTTAGGGAATCTGAGTGGTGTACAGGAATTCTTTTTACTATTTTTGAAAATCTGAAATTATTTCAAAGTAAAAAGTTAAAATATTGACATTAAATCTATTAAGGTTATAAATACAAAAACTTCTTAAATTTATGTATAGTTTGTAAATCTGTAGCTGTTACTTTTTAATAATGTTTTGTCCCTCATCTCATGTCTAGAGGCTTGGTAGAACTGTGGACTGGAGCTTCTGCAGCATGGAGATTTCAGGGTAGTCAGACTTCTTACGTGGCAGGCAGCTCAGGGTTCCCAGAGACTGTTGCAAAAGGCCTGAGTGGAAACTGTAGGGCTTAAGACTATACTCTGGACATTCCAGAATAGCAGTTCTTTTGGGAAGACAGTCACTAAGGTCCAGATACAAGGGTATAGAAATTAGATTTCACCTGTAAATGGAGGCGTAGCAAAGAATTAGCAATCATTATTTATCTGCTGCCATAGGAGCTTATTTAAAATATTATTTTAATGAATGAAATTAAATGAAGATATCTCAGTTCTTAGTCTGATTTTGGAGTTGTAGTTTATAAAATCAATTTAGAGACACATGTCATTGAAGGATATTGAGTTGGTCATAAGTGTATAAGTGAGCAAGTATCTGCATAACATTGTGAGAATTACAAGAATCTTTCCTCAGTCATTCAACTTTCACTTTTCTAGAGGCAGGTACTTCTAGAGCTCATTGTAAGTTTATTTGCCTGTAAAATGAGAGCTACAAATACTTATAAAGTAATTCCTAAATTATTCAATTTATAGATTATTTAATGAAGTTGTGTTTCATTCTGATCTTGCCAGTGTAGACCTAACTAGTGAAGAAACAACTGATTCCACTAGTTCTAAAAGTAGCCCACCTGAAAATACTCAGCAAGAAGATGGCAGTATGTTTTCTTTCATTACCTGGAATATTGATGGATTGGATCTAAACAATCTGCCAGAGAGGGCTCGAGGAGTGTGTTCCTATATAACTTTGTAAGTATTATTATTTCAGTTTAATTGGGGCAAAATAATTATGTCTGACCTATCTATAGTGTAACAGTTCAAGACTGTGGGCTGTGAAATCAGACCCAGGTTCAAAGTTGAGCTCTGAGAAGAAACATCTGAAGGAATTTGAAGTGGTTGCCTCTGGGAGCAGAATTTAGGAATGGGGGCAGGGTGGAGAGGGTACACTAAAATTACCCAAAATATCTCTGTGAACTGGTCCTGTGACATTGAACAAGACATTTCAGCTCTCTGGAGCTCAGTTTCTTCATTGTGGTTGCTAGCTGTTTTGAGAATATCAAAATAAGTAACATTTAAAGTATCAGAGTACAGGACCATTGTAGGCTTTCAATATAATGGTTTCCACTGTCAATTATCAATTCAAGTTGTTTTAATATTAAATTGTTGTCATACCTATTTAAAAAAAAATTTTAATTTTCACTATGAGTTAAATAGCACAAATCTTTCTCCTTGTATAGATACTGAAGATTGGTATAAACATTGAATGTTAGGTGTCCTAGATGATAGTAGTTTTGTGTTTCTCTTCTTATGTTGTGAAATTTCCCCCATCTAGCTAGCTGTGAACGAAATGGTATACCTAGTGTTTATAATAAATTGATATTTTAAATTAGGTACAGCCCAGATGTGGTATTTCTACAAGAAGTTATTCCTCCATACTATAGCTACCTAAGGAAGAGAGCAAGTAATTATGAAATAATTACAGGTAACACTTTTACTATTATTCAAGTGAACTTTTCCTCTGAAAAATCAATAAAAGAGATAAAGTTAGCCTATTGGAAAACAGAAGAGAAAAAGCACAAATAAGTTTGAGAAAATAAGCCCAGAATCAGAGGATACTGAAAGAATTACAGGAAACTATAAAGTGTAATATTAGTAAGTATGAAAAAGTGGTTGTAATGGATTTTCCAGGAAAATAGAAATCACCCAAATTTGAGACATTGATTAGCTTTTTGGTGGCAATGATACTGTGATTATATTTTTTTTAAAAAAGTTTTTATCTTCATTAATTCCTCCTGATTGATTTTGTTGCTGTTTTTCTCCCTAGCTTTTTTGCCCTGAATAATGTAGTTTTCATTTTTTAATCTATTTACTGTTTAAGAAGCCCAATGGGATCACTATGAGTTGGAATCAACTTGATGGTAGTGGGTTTGTTGTTTGTTGTTGTTGTTGTCATGTGTCAAGGCGGCCCCGACTCATAGCAACCCCTCCTTGGGTTTCCAAGGCAGTATAACTATGGAAGTAGGTTGCTCCATCTTCCTTCCGAGGAGTGGCTGGTGGGTTTGACCTGCCAGCCATCTGGTTAGCAGTCAAGTGCCTTAGGTACTACGCCACCAGAGCTCCCTTTTTTTGGTTAGGTACATTTAAGTACCACTTTGGCCATATCTCATCATTGTCATATGTAGTATTTGACTTTTCTTTTTCTTAGTATGTGATTTTAACTTTAATCCAAAATTGTTAAGGAGAGGAGCTGGCAAGATGGCGGACTAGGCAGAAAGACTGCACAGACCCTCTTCAACAAAGAAAAGGGAAACCAATTAACACAGACACAGAAGATAATCTTGGACCCCAGAGC